ACATAAATATAAGCTAAGTTCAAAAAGGAAAAATGAAATAATGAAGGATGGCTCCTCCAAAAGCAAAGGACAAAATGTATTTATAGTCTAGCCCAAACACACACTAAAACACGCACATTAAAATGGGACACTCTCGATCACGCCGGAAAATTCGCGAGCACGCGGGCAATGGCTGGCGCACTCTCGATGGCGCGGACAATAGGGCGAGCTCGCGGGCGTGTTGGTGCGGGGCTCTCGACGGCGCGGCTGTTTCCGCGAGCACGCGGACTGGCCTGGACGTGCAGCAGCGGCGCTCTCGACCACGCGGAAGTCTCCGCGAGCACGCGAGCTAGTAGGCGTTGGCACTCTCGACCTCGCCATTACTTCCGCGACCGCGCGAGTGTGTGGCGTGCGAGAGCTTCGGCTGGGCAGCAACGGTACGGGCGCACGGGCGTGATAGCGTAGGCGCGCGGGCGCGGTGCATGACTCGCGTGGCGTGGCAAGGAGTTTGATGTACTCGATCGATAAGGGTTCGTCCGGAATGGCTCGGAATACTCGGAATTTACTCGAATTTATTTTCATCCTCGATAGACCTAAAAATATATCAAAAGCACGGACAAGTACGCCAAGATACAAAATAAAACAAAAAACACGAAAACGACAAAATGGACCGGACGACACTAAAACGAACCTAAAAATGACTCGATAACACATATAAACACATGAAAAATAAGCACAAAAACATAACAAACAACGGTTCCGTCTACACACTCGACTGACTCGTCTAATCAACTTTGGTATCAAATCTCACTATCTTATGAAACTACTAGCCCTAGGCAACGACACGGTCTGTAACCCGAATTTTTCCTTATTTTTAATCTAAACGCGAGACGCTCTACGATTAGACATGACTTCTTGTACAGTCTAGAAAGACGCTTTCAAGATTTAATACAATTAGCCGCTTTACGAATTAGAAAAATAGGCTCGACTAAGTAGTGACGCGTTCGTTCACTTAATTAGGCCGTGTTATCCCCGGTAGTTACCATCTTCCGGTAGCCTGATTAAACACATCAACAATTACGGATTGACAGTTTGAATCTAGCAGTAGATATGAAAAGCCTAGATTAGGTGATCAAGCTAAACAAGACTCAACAAATCATGGTTACTTATTCAAAATAACACGAACAATTCCAAAAAGACAACTCAATAATCAACCACATAAATCAATCAAATATCGTCAAGTCGTAGGGTTCGACATCCCCGTAACTAGAATAAAATCTACTCTAACATAGTAAATAAAAAGGAAAAGATAGATAAAAAAGAGAGATTAATTATCTCCCTTGTGTACGGGCGCGACCTCCCTCCGCAATCGGGTTCCTCCTCTCTCTCGCCTTTTTTTTCTTCCAGTTACGCGAAGCGGCTGTTCTGTTCTTCAAAGTGCGTGGCGGCTTCCAAAAAAAAAAACTCCTTCCCGAGACTCTGTCCGTGAATATATATGTTTGTGGCGTGAATTTTCTGCCTCATTAACCCAAAAGAATTCCAAGCAAATCATCCACTTGATAGCCTGCTCAAGCTCATGGCCCAGCCCAATACAGGAAAATTAAAACGAAAGCCCCAAAATCCTACAGCAAATCAATTCCTCTTCAGTAAATAACCATTAGCCCAAAGATCAATTGTTAAGGCTCTTGAATGTCTACAACTCCCAACAAATAATTCCAAGTGCCTTAAGGACAACTTTTATTTGTGAATTTGGGCTTTATCTCATCCGCATCCCACGTCAATTTTAGTCTTGTATTGGACGCCCGATAATTGCTCACATGAATTTTCGTTCAACGTTTCGCATCCACAAACATACTCCAATCTACTGAAAAATAACACATAAAACATCAAAACAAATAAATCCATTCAAATAATAAATAAGTCTAAAAATATAAATGTGCGAATAAATTAAGCGTATAATAATCCACTATTAAATATATAAAATGCGCACATTTTTCCACCAATCAATATACATATTCTCCAACTACTCCAAATGCCAAAACAAAGGCAAACCCATGCTCAAGTCACTTTTACAGCCTCATTGATTCTCCTCACAAACAATCAAAGCCTCCAATACTTTTAACAAAAACCCATAAAGAAAATAACCCAACAATAATTCTCAACAAGAACAGGTTGACAACTTCTTCATCTCACTAACCTCGAAATCAGCACCCGAAATCGTATCGATTTTCATTCTGTCGAGCAAGCCTCCGTTGGGCTTCACCACATTGCTGCTGTCCAACGCCTTCCTCGAGACGACACCGTAAATCTCCTCGAGCAGCTTGTAGAATGCGGGCCCCACGTTCTCGCCACTCAGGGCCGAGGCCTCGAAGAAGTAGAGGCCCTGATTCTCGGCAAACTCAATGGCATCCTCCGTGGGGACCGCCCGGGAGTCCGCGGCCAGGTCAGCCTTGTTGCCAACCAGCATGATAACGATCGAGTTGTCCGCGTGGGCCCGCAGCTCCTCGACCCACCGGGCCACGTGGTCGAACGTCACTCTTTTGGTGACGTCGTAAACAAGCATTGCCCCGAGTGCACCCCTGTAGTACGCGCTTGTCACGGCCCTGTACCTAATTTTTTTTTGTTTACCACAAAAATGTGAGAATCGTTAAATTATTGAGACCTAACCTACTGATATTTTTTTAAAATTGTTCAATAATGTGATAATTAACCATTAATGTTTTAATAAATTTTATATCCCTCTTAAATTATGGATTGGAAGTGACTAGTAATAATAACATGACCATCAGTCTGGGTCGGCCCGCCTAGACCAGGGCTGCAAACGAGTCGAGCAGCTCGCGAGCCGCTCGCGAGCGCTCGAGTCAAAGCTCGGCTCGAGCACGAACTCGAGTCGAGCTCGAGCCCATATTTTACATTGTCGAGCGGCTCGAGATATATGAAATTACTAAAATACCTTGTATATATATGTATTTAATGGTTATTTACCAAATTGCTTGAAAAAATTCGAACCGAACTCGAGCTTCTATTATTTTATCTAGTCGAGCTCGAGCTCGAGCAGCTAAAAAAAAAAATTCAATCCTGCTCGATAAGGCCAATGCTCGTCTCGGCTCGACTCGTTTGCAGTCCTAGCTTAGACCCATTGATCATGAGTTTCGAGGTCAAAAACAACTGCGACCGAGTATTACACAAGTCGGTTTTAGGGCGATCCTAAAACCTTTTCTCACCCAGCAGGCCTGGTTGGGGCGATCCTAAAACCTTTTTTCACCCGGTGGGCCTGCCTTCACAACCGGCTAGGTCCACCGGGCTTGGTGCCCGAATTATTGAAATTAAAATTTTGAATTTTCGATCCTTTCACTCCATTATTTTAGATCTAAAAGTTGACCGGACAAGATAAATCTAGTTTGAAATAGCCATTATTTTTTCTTTAAGATTACTTAAATTTAAAAGATATAAATATATATTTATGTAGTAAATATTTATAATGAGATATAACATTTTTAGAACTGTTATTGTGTATATTTGTGTAATTATTATATTAGCCTTATGTTCTCTTTAGGTAATTGTACCCTAATTTTGTGTATATATATTCATAGTTAATAGAATATTGAATCATCCGATTGAGATGATTTCACCCCAAAACTTTGTGTCGTCTCTCTCGTATCATGGTATCAGAGAAGGTTAATTTTTGTGTCCAATCTGATTGAATCTTCAAAATCAATTGTTATTATTTTTTTTTTTTCGTTTGGCTGTATCCCGTTGGATATTGAATTTTCCGTCAATTGACTTAATTGAGCCATGTTCTGTCAATTGAGAAATCTGATTGGTATGCATGTTCTGTCAATTAATGTGTTGAAGATTGTTGCTTGAGTGATTTTAAGTTCTGCTTAATTATTTAATGGTTGTTGCTTGATTGGAATCTAAAAAAAGGGAGTTCGGTTTAATTGATGCTGCTGCTCAAATAATTTTTGATGATCCACGAATCCATTGCTCAAATAATCTGCCGCCCCACTTGCTAGTGACCAAAAAAAAA